TTTTCCTGAAAAAAGAAAATTCTTTTTAGGTTTCATAAAATACGTAAGTGCACACACCTTTGTTTTCTTACGTAGGTACGAAAAAAAAAAAAAAAAAAAAAAAAGAGAGAGAACGAGGCGACCAGTTTATTCGAAAAGTTTATCGCACGTGCATATCACCTGACGCATTTTCTTCCAAGATGTTGGTCACTAGGCCGTTACGTATTATTTCACACACAACGAAATTTATTGGTTGGTTCTCGTATTACATTCAGCACTTTAGAAATTGAGTTCAAATCCTCGATGTTTCAAAAATTTCTTTTCCCTGAAAAATATTCGCCATTTCTTGGAATATCTGTTAGAACTTCAAAGAAATAGAGGGAAAAAAAATGGGAACCACATTTTCTTCTACTAAACAAAAATCAGCAGACTTTGAACGTCGACTAATAAATTATAAAGCGACTGCAGCCTCCCTATCGCCAGAGTGTCTATTTGAAATATTTGAATATCTTGACAGGAACTCGCTTTATTCTTGTCTCTTGGTCAATAGGAGTTGGTGCAAGGTGGTTGCACCCCTGCTGTGGAGAGCACCCTTTCGAACCTCAATCGGACCTTCCCTTGAGCCAGCCAAACTTATTCGGACGTATCTCAGCTGCCTCTGTGAAAGGTCGAAATTATATCTTATCAACAATGGAGTAAGGTTACCACGGTTAATGCCTGTCATATTCGATTATCCTTCTTTTCTACGCGAATTGAAGTTTGTGGATTTGTATAATGCTGTGTCCGATTGGTTCGCAAATGAGTTTTGTAATAACGAAGATGAACAGTCGGTTTTTCTGAGGATCCTAGTTGCCGAGCAATTATTCAAATTGTTCATGAACCGGTGTCCAACATTTGAAATGCTATCCTTATCGGACTTGTCTCATGAGGCGCCCATGCCTTTGGTACCTCTTTTGGCGGGTGCGGATCCGTGTTTGACTAGACTTAAGGCTTTCCAATGTGTTAACAAGCACAACGGTAAGAAGGACATCTTCCGTGCGATGTCTCAAGTGTCAGAAATTCTCGAGACCCTGTGGATTGGAGGAGTTGAGCATGAGATGGAGGTGAAGGCTTTAGGAGTTCTAATCAGATCTCAGAAAAAATTGAAAACTTTCAAGTACTCGTGGGACAACCAAACTCGTCTGCAAATCGTGTTGGATGAAACGCTCGGAGCCTTAAGCACACAAGCGAAAAGTCTCACCACCATTCACTTTGAATACTGTAATTTTTCACATTGTGAATCGTTGGAACCTTTAACAACGTGTACAAACATGGAGAACATTCGATTCATACAGTGCATCTTCCTGGAAGAGAAATTGCATCCGTTGGCAAATGTCATCTTTCATAATCTCAAGAATTTGGAATTTCATTGTAGTTTTGTGGATTCCTCAAGGTACTGGATAGACATTCGCGATATCGCGTCCATTATTAGGAATTCGTCTAGTAGTCTTGAAAAATTGATCCTGCCCAAAATTGGAAATTCAGAGGAACTGTCAGTGGAACTTATGAAATCGCTTCGATTCAGCAGAAGTATTAGGGAAATAAGATTGCAAATTAGAAACGAGGAGACCAAAGATTTTATGGATTTCTTCAATAATAATAATAGGCTGGAGAAGCTTATATTCATCTGTCTCGGCGATCTGAACGTGGAAGGCCTGCTGACGCAAATGAACCAACGATGGCCGGACACTTTATCATCGTTACAGATTAAAGGACAATGGATAATTACTTCGGAATATTTAAAAGCTTTCCTCAAGGATTCCAAATGTTGCCTCAAGCATTTGGAATTACACTCTTCGAATCATTTAACCGACGACCACGTCACGGTTGTCCTGGACTATCTGAAAGAAATGAGGGCGACAAGGAGATCTGGCTTAAACAATATGTACATGTCTGGAGATCGAATAACCGAAAAAAGAGGGAACTTTTGTCTAGCACCTCTGATCTAATTTAATATCGTATCTGCGACAAAGCAATCAACAAAAGTAACAAAAGTATACTATTAATTTTGGTGGTCTGGATTTTAGTTTTTTTTTTCTTTTCTTTCTTTTTTTTAATAACGTGTAATGCGAGAAAGATGAACTATTCGGTTGTGTTTCGTTCTTTTTCTTTTCTTTTTTTTTTTTTCTTGAAATTGCAATCATTAAAGCAGCGCGTCTGTGCATGTCGTGTGAAATGTCGGGAGGACTTTGGTTCATGCAATGCTACATCCACACGCACATAACATTCGTAAAATGCGACTTGCATTTGATCTTTGGAAGGAGTTGTATCATCAACAGCGTTAATATTGTATAATACAGAAGTTGGCACACGTACGCAGGATGGTGGGCACTAGGGGAAAAAAAAAAAAGGAGGATAAATCCTCCTCTCCTTACTGGTTAGCTTTGACTGATGGATCAAAAAAAAAAAAAAAAGCATGGATGAAGCATAGGTATAATAGTCTCGCTTAATTTTAATCGCTCAAGACATAGATTGTACACAGTTTTCTTTTTTTTTTACATACACACTCGTATATATATATATATATAGATAGATTGTACAGATCGTAATCATTAAAAAAAAGTTTTTTTTTTTTATTCTAGGTATATTTTGTTTTCTAAATCAAAAATACTTATATGTGCATGTTATAATTAACAAATACGGTATATCGTAAATCTGATTACATTTGGGTTATTTTTGGTAAGGATCAGATAATTTGCTACATTACGCAACCCATAAGTCCCATTGGTATAGGTCACAACTCAACTCATTCTCATTGTAGCTCTTTGCGTGTGATAAAGAAAAACGTAAGGGGGCGGCATTTTCTAAAATTGATAATGCTCATGAGTTTTTTTTCCCAATAATATTGTTAATTATGCAAAGGAACAAACATTCACGTTTTTAACCGAAATTTATAGATCAGACAATTTTATACCGTCAACTTGGCACTTTTAGGTAATAAGGATTCTTTCGAGCGCTTGATAAGTGTCGTTGCATGCAGATAGCAAGTTGAAATCTGTACATCTTTAGTTCAACGAAGAGATCAACTGCCGATGGCGTCTAGACTATCGGCCGAATGCCTCATGAAAATTATCGGGAAATTCGGCTACGAAAGCTGGTCCGAGGAAAATGACTTCACCACCTTGTTTTCGTGTTCAATGGTGAATCGTGAATGGTGCAAAATTGCGATTCCCATTCTTTGGAGGTTCCCCATTGAATGGTTAACTTTGCCGCCAAGTGAGATAACCGGTCGATTCTCACCGTTGGTGGCGACCTACATTCAATGCTTGCCAAAAGAGACTAGGGACGAACTCGCAAAATCAAATATTCTCTCGACAGAATCAATTTACGAACAACCGATCTTTGATTATCCGTCATTTCTGCGAAGGTTTAACTACGTATGGTTCGAGTACGCCATCGAATTGTTCCTTCTCAAAAGGAACACTTCGTCGAGTAAGACTAATCGAGAGATTCACAAGCTTCACACCTTTCTGATCCTGGAGAATTTCTGTAAACTGTTCATGGAGAGATGCACCAAACTAGAATACCTCGAATTCATTTGTCCTTACGGATGTGACTTTGATACCAAGTCTTTTGTATGTCTACCCTCATTGCCTTACGCCTCGAGTTCACTCCGAAATCTTACCAGCTTTTCGTGCAAAGGCTGCACTCAATCGAACATCATGCATGAGATGGCAAAATTCTGTGTATTCATCGAGAATTTTCGCGTGGAATGTTTATGTCAGGATAATGATGGTTTGGCAACCTTGATCGAAGCTCAAAGAGGAATAAAGGTTTTATGCTTGAGGGGCGATTTCTATCGATCCCCAGTGGACATCCCGAAACTGCAAAAGGCAATCGGCAGTAGACTTAGCAACCTCAATATGCTCGATATGTTTCCAATTTGTTTGCCATTAAACATTTTTGCCCCATGCGAAAAGCTGAGCTACCTATCATTTTCAGTACGATTCAAGGAGGAGACAATAGAGATGGACTCTTTTGCCAACTCGCATTTTCCGAACCTCGAATTTGTGAAGGCGAAATTTAGCATCATGAGGATTGGGCAACTTACATCATTGCTTAAAAACACCAATGGTCAGATCACAAGGATCTCGGTGAAATACAAGAGTCTCCTGGATCCAACTTGCACATCCTCTTATGTCACGACACTTGTCAATCATTTTCCGAATTTGCAAGAATATTCTGGCCCATTTCCAAGTGATCATATATCCCAATTAACATGTTTATTTAAGAATTGCGTTCACCTCACCCACTTGAAAATTTGCAATAGTCATGAAGAGGATGTCCCCGCAAATTTAAAATTCCATTCCATCAGTGAGATATTACAAAATCTTGGGAATCTGGTCCCACCAAAATTGAAAAAATTCTCCCTACCATCCAATTGGACTTATTCTCCCGAGGCTTTGGAAAGCTTCTTTAAGTCGATTGAAGGAAGATCCATAAAGTTATTGGATTTTCAGATAAAGTTATATTTAAACGAGATAAATAACAAGGATATTCACGACGTTCTGTTCAGATACATCAACAGAGGGGTCATAATGGATTACAGTAGACGGTATGTTTCATTCTCTTTCTTTGTCTGTGGTTGATGTTTACATTGTACATTAATTAAATTCACCTTTCACCACAACAGCAGTGCATTCAGCATTCAGACCTATCTCTGAAGCAACGTCTTTACCCAAAATAATTGAAACGTCGGGAAATAGCGAAAATTAACTTATTACTTCTTGGACATAGTAAACTAGGCATTTCAATTTTTTGAACAAGCGCGCAATTCTCCGACATTTAGGGATTCCTGATTCCTCTGTCGGACTTGCTTTGGAGAATTGATTTAAGTAGCACCACAAGCAAATACATATGGTGAATTTCCATATTCGTAAAGACACGTCGAATATTTTTCTCATGATATCACCGCCGCCCATTCTTCTCCAGAAACTCAAATGAAATTTCAAAATTGCAATCATTATTTTAAAGGAGGTGAATTCCGGTTATTTGATCACAAACTACCTTCTTCGGAAGGTTCTATAATGAGGTACATAGGAAATATTGCCTTTCACAGAATTTCATTTATGCGCGACCAAAGAATGCAAGACCGGGTAATACGAGAGGACAAGTCTAGTCTAGCTTATTAAAGGCAGGGTTAGATTGCGACATACGTATTGTCATTGGATGTCTTCACGAATGGGTATCATCCAAGTCCAAATTTGAACCATGGATTATCTTTAAAACTTTTGATGGTAACACGTTTCGTTCCGGAGCAAACTATCGATTTCTCCGAAAGTATCATATGACAAAACAGTACCTGTTTATAAATAAACGAATTGTCTTCCCACGATTCTTCACCTACTGTTGCGAATTCAGTTTTTTTGCATTTTAAATAAGGACTTTGATTGTTTTTTTTGACCTTGCTGTTCCTGTAAGAGGTGGGTAATATGTATAATATGGATAAACTCTGCTGAAATTTCAAATACCGAGTGTAGGGCAATTATAAAAAAGTATCTCAAGTTGTGTATTTTTTATGTTAATGGTTTTCAACTTCTTTTTTTTTCCTCGTTTGCCTATGCATCATTAGCCTTAAACGCTTCGCACATAACTACAAAATGCCAGGCAGAAACCTTCTCTCCTCCGCCCTCACCGCGGTGACCAATCAAACCGTGGTTTCCTACGAGGAATATATGGAACGACGTTCTGACTCATCCTATCTCTTCCATAAATTGAATTCCGATGCTCTCCATCAGTCTCATTTGGTGGGCGGTATCGTGTCCACTGACGAAGGTGATTTGGTTGAAGTAGACGTAGAAATGGACGATGACAACGTCGAAGATAATATGACAATGTAACATCATCATTCTCTTGAGCTTCTAATTTTAAACGTCCTGGTTACCAAATTAAACTTTGATATTCTGTGTTGCCAGTTTCGTCAGAACCTTGACTGGAAAAGTTTTGAACATCGGTTGCAAACCGACAACTAATATCGAAAAGATAAAGGCGAAAATTCAAGCCAGGGAAAGTATTCCTGTAGATCAACAGAGACTTATCTTCGCCGGAAAGCAACTTGAGGACGGTCGTTCACTAAGCGATTATAATATTACGCGTGACTCGACCCTTCATCTCGTTCTTCGTCTCCGCGGCGGTGGCGGCGCGTTGAACTACTTCCTAAGTCCCGAACTTCTCGATCCCGGCTACGATTTCGATTTCACCGATATTAATGATACAGGAAGCATATTCACGAGAGGTGGATTCGAATACCGCCGTCCTTGCGGTTGGAAGCGTATCGCGCTTAAGGTACTCGACAAATATGACAGCGACAACAAGTGGCTTGGAACGGCGAGTTCTCGTTTCCGTTATGACTCGGAACCTGGTGAATGGCCCGTTTCTTACCATGGAACATCAAAACACTGGAATTCTTCTATTGCCGATGATGGTCTTCGCCTCAGTAAAGAACAAGGTATCCAATTCCCATATTCTCAGGGTATTTATACCACCCCCGATGTCAATTTGGCAGCCAATTACGCAGAAACCTTCACTCATGAAGGCGCGCAATATAAGATTGTTTTTCAAAATCGCGTCAACCCGGACACCCTATCCATTCTTAACACCGGTTGCGGGGACTATTGGATTAGCCCGAGGGGCACAGACGTGCGTCCATATGGTATTTTGATTAAAAAGGTTTAAAAAACACTCTTTCTCCGATCGTCACATCGAGAAAGATTATTTTTTCATCATATATATGTTGTATATTAGTGTTGTTTCTTTGTTTGAAAGGTCTGTTATATATGATTGTACTTTATTATTGTTTTGTTCAAGAAGTCTGTAACATATTCCAAATATAAATCTATGAGAAGTGCGATTGTAATTTACAAGTTTAAATGAATGATCGCGCTACTTTATATTTTCCCGATTGAACAGTCAGTCCTCTGAACGGAATTTTTTAAAAAACCTAATGATTAACGGTTAGACCGTATGTCCGACCAATCTTCCCATATCAGATTCTGAATCTATTTCTTTCCTCCAAGCAGACATGATATCAAACGTATAGTGTGTCGATCTACTTCGTCGACACGTTTATCGCAAGTGACCCTAAACTCCACTATTTTATGATCCATGGTGCCAAATGTTTCTTTATGTATATAGTTTATTTTCATTGTTTTTTGTATGCTATTAATAATTGCTTGACTGTTTATATAGATATTTGTTCTACTGAAGAGGGATAGTATATTTATTATTATTATTATTATAGCTACCAGTTCTACTTTAATAAAAGAGAACCTAATAATTGTGATCTATCTAAATTTTATATAGTATTGATTGTCATATTGTAATATGGAACTACTGTTTCTCTAGTGCTATTGATATTAATCTTGTTTTTCTTTTATAATCTATATTGTAAAATTGTGTTATAATGTGAGAAACTATATAGGAATTGGACTTGATATTAATTTATTGTGGACTCTAATGATTTGGAATTAAGTAAGGATTTATTATTATTATTAAAAAGTTATTTTATAAACAATATATTGTATTTTCTTAGTTCTGAATAGATTTTTACATATAATTCTAAATTTGTTACCTCTTTAATAATAATATCTATTTTTTTATAATATAAAGGTAACCGTAGAGAACTTTGTAAAAAGTAAAACTATATTTTTTAAATATTTATATTATATTATGTATAAGATTCTTTTTTAGTTCTAATATAAGACTTGAATATAATTATATATCTCCTTAATGGATCAAAATATATTTTATAATAATTAAAGATAGTATTAAGCAATATATTTTATAATATTCTCTAGATTTATTTTGATATATCCATTATTGATATATAATTAGACTTGTATCTAAAGATAAGTTCCTAAAAGGGAAGGCAGGAACAAAAATCAAATATCCTTCATTGGGAAATATTAAAAATTTTAAAATAATAACTATAAAAAAACTACACACAATTGTTCTTCATTATCCAAATCATTGATTTATAACATTTTATGACTTTTGTCTCTATTAAAGTGAAAAACTATGAATTTTGTTCCTCAAAAAGGAACATAAGTAATCTGCAAAATTTATATATTAAATACTTTAGGAACCCATCATTACTTGTATCTATTTTAGAGTTATATTATATTATATTCATATTAATTATATATTATATAATTAGATACTGTCTTGATAAGTCCAATTTTATATTTAAATATAAATATAAGTTTATTATTAGTTAATTATATATTTGCTTAATTAAGATAATATTATTATAGAGATATTTGATATAGATATTCGAACATAGTAAATTATATATTGTGCTTACTTATATATTATTATTATTATTTTTTTTTAAACCGCAACTGGTATTAGATGCGAGCACTTTTATTAAGAATTAACTTAACATCTTAGATAATGAAATCTTGAGCATCACATCAATTATCTCATACAAACTATATATTTTCTATATACATGCAGATTAATGATAACCTATCACAGTTGTCTCTAGGTGGACCCACTAACCACTCTGTGAGTGGGGCAGATTCAGCTAGAGACCGGATGGTTAATACACAGTTATCAACGGCGAAACAGGCTAAGTTTAGTATTGAGCTTTTATAAATTTTTAATTATATTCACTAAACTAGTCTGTATAGTATGTATCCGATGGGATTTATTTTACCCTCCAATACTCCCAGATATTATTCGCTCAGACCTTGGAAGGGGACACTTTTACCTTCTTTGTCACCACCTATAGCATCGGATCAGTCCCATTTGACTGATTTTCATTTAAGCAGAGCATCATATTGGGATATCCTGAGCTAGAAGAGGGGGTCCTGGAGACTGCCAGGGCAGGGGGTCTTGTGGGGCATTTATGGTGGGTTAGACCAGAAGCCTTTCTTCATGCAATCCTTCCGGTAGTATGATCGTAGATCTCAACCCCTGATCAACGGAAGGCCAGAAGTCCCATCTTCGTGCAGCCTAACCTGATTAAAGCTTGTTTCGGATGATTGGATATGACTTTCACAGGATAACCGGTAAACCTGATTAGAAAAGTAATTTTTGATTTTGATCCTTAAGTGGTATTAAACTACAGACCTTGTGATTGCGACCTGGGAGCACTACCACTATGCTATTGACCCACAGGTCAGCTTATATATTATTTTTTCTTATACTTAATAGCATATATATATTATATTTGTTATTTTTTGTTTTATTAAAGCTTTTAAATAGTTCTTCCTTTTTAAATTATTATATTAGATACTATATCTAGAATTCTAATTAATATATTAATTAAATATCTCTATACTTTTTTATTATTTATTATTACATAATATTCATACTTTTTTTTTGTAATATTAATAATAATTAATTATAACTTTACTAAATTTATTTAAATATTATTTATATAATAAAATTCTTTTTTATAAATTATTTTTGGTGATCTTTTTTATTGCTTGTTAATCAGATTATATTATATATATATATATTTACTGTAATATTGATTGCTTTATTTGTTCAGCTTTTTTGAAGTTTATATATATTTTAAGTTTATTAAATATTTTTTATAGTATTGACTAATTATTAATAATAATATATTATAAAAGATTTTCTATAGAATTGAAAATATTGTTTCTCATTAATTAATTCTATTTTTCACTGAATATATAGTACTTCTATTAAGTCATAATAAATTATGACTAAAGATAGATCTTTAAAAAAGGATTTAAAGACAAAGGTCAAATATTTCTCACTAGAATATTTTAAAATTTTTAAATGAATAACTATAAAAAAACTATTTAAAATTGTTTTTTTTTTTTTTTAAACTTTCTGTCAGGCTAGGTACGTGTGCTTTATTAAACATGTGTATACTTTACATTGAAGAATGTATCGCTAAAGCTAAGACTTTACCTAACTCACTCGTCTCTGTTTTAAAGAATTATTAAAACTCTAAGTGCAACTTCGGGAGTGATTTATTGCTCTATTAACAGTTCAGGTAAAGACCC